GATCACTTGGGTTGTTACCGACATCTGGTGAAAATTTCATGTCATTAGCACCTCTAGTAATTTATTTACAGAGAAAAATGTTGACGTGTTCAATACTTATTTTACCTGCTGTATTAATATGTTACTGTCATTTACAAGGCAAATTGTCTTATCTCTGGAACTGCTCATGATATTCAATGGATTAAATGGATACCTTTACCTGCTCTTTGATTCTGACATGATGGCTTCAATGTACACATTTACTCATTTACTTATCAGGAGCAAAACTTGTCCAATGATTCATTGGATGATTGTTGGGTAGGGTACTTACATGAGAGTATGGTGATAAGGAGCCCAGTGACTGCAACAGACAAAGAACAGAAATATTGTGTTACAATAATGTTAAATAAATCAACTTTTCTGTTTGTGTATGAGTATTTGTGAGTGTGAGTGAGTGGTCATCTTGATAAGAAATTATGTCAGAGCTGCCAGCTGCTTAAAGTCTAAAACTGTGAGTCTTAGACTGTAAGAGAAACGAAGGGACACAAAAACATAAACCCTGAGGACACTAAGATAATAACAGAAAACCGTATGACCGTAAAAAAGCAACTTGTACAAAATTTGAAGAAAAACTGTGAAATGGTTAAACAGGAGTCTAACAAGATGTAGACATAAAGATAAAACAGACAGAGGTCTGCCGAGAGGCACAACAGACGGTGTGAGCTTTCTGGCTCTCCACACATCTCTGTGAAGGTTCTATCTGGAGAATGACAGTAAGAGAGACAGCTGAAGGTGTCGTGAGTGTGACCGTTGTCACAGGGACTCACACAGATGAGTCGATGAGGGGAGCCCAGGAGAGGAGAGGAGCCTGGAGGAGAAATGGACGCCGTCTCAGAGGTACGTCTCAGCTGTCGGGTTGAACATTAGAGCCAAAAGTAAAAGCAACGTTAAGTCAAAGTAGACCTTTAAGGCTGACTTTAAAACTGTAACAAGCAGACAGGTTGAAGCTTATCAAACGCACAGAATCTCTCAAAGCAGGCAAAATTTGCCCGAACAGAAAAAGGTTTGGGTGTGTGAAAACAATGTCAAGAGGGAGAGATTCAAGAAATGAGCTTCTGCTACTGCAATCTAGAAGAGTTATGTAAGATTTCTTTTTAACAACCTGACAAACAAACAATCTAAAGAGCTTTCACTGTCAGACAAAGTTAAGCTATTTTCCAGGATGAGGTCAAAATGTGCAAAGTTCACTATTATCCATGAAAGAGCTGAACTTAAAGTGCCTGTGACATCAAATAGTTGCAACAAATATGAGCACATTTTTGGAACGATAACACTGATAACCTACTGTGAAAAAAGATTTCACACTGCTGAGATGAACCTTAGTTGAGATATTCATATTTGAAGTAACAGGAAGTGATGTCAAAGGGGAATGTCTGCAAGCAAACACAGTACCGCTACAACGACAACACAGACTGTAAAGAAGAATCTTCTTTAAATTATTTTGGGTCACGGTCAGAGAGAGAAAGAAAAGTCAGAGTTCAAACAACATAAAAGACCAGGGAGTTCCTTTCTTAGCATTCCCCTTTGATGTCACTTCCTGTTTCACTTTGAACGAGCCAAAATAAAAGGAAAATATACCATTTATGTGAACAAATGGGTAAAATTGTTTGTATTATGTCAGGTTTCTTAAATATAAAGATGTTTATTAGATTTTTTTTTTGAAGGATATGCATGTCACATGCACTTTAAAGTTTCTCATTTAGCATCTTGATGATGTCTTTTGATTGATGGAAACAGTGTCATTTCAATTTGTGTTTTACTCTTTACTGCTGGTTGGCTGAATGGACACATAAAACAGAAGACACTGTATCATTTTGGTATTTTATTTTCTGTTTTTTAGATGTACTTGCAGTCATAGGAAAATTTGTGTTTGGTTTTGGATATTCAGTTTTAGGACTTAGATTTAATGGATCAATTAAACTATATGGGCCTTGGTGAGTTGCTTTCTTTCCCTGACTCTAATATCCCTTTTGGATGGATTTTCATAAAAAAACTAGTTGTGTTCAACTCTCTTTAAACAGATGCAACTGTTTAATACCTACATGATAACAGAAGACAGGCCTGTTTAATTATGCATTTGTTTCTTATTTTATGAAACACTCTTGCAGTGAATCATAGATCCAGACTGCAACATTTCAGGCTCAGACACGAACGAAGAACAGGAACAAAAATAGAGAGKAAGAACACTCACCCTCAGTTTTCTCTCCAGTCGAGCTGCTTCTTTACACATGGGGTGCCAAACTTCTGAACCTGCACACACACAAACACAATTTTATCTCAGTTGCTTTGTTTATTGTGTGTGGGCAACAAGCGTACAGTTTTATGAGATCCCATGAAGAGTAGATCAGCCTCTCTCAAGTGCATCAACATCAATCAACACACACACACACACACTGACGGCAGAGTGTGTGGCTTTGGAGGCAGTTTGTCTGCGCTGAGAAATGAGGACACGACTCCTCTGGTCTCCTCTAACAGATAAACATTGAGAGGGAAAATCTTTAGCTCCAAGAAGAAAATGGCTCTAGACTTTTATGTCTGCAAACATTTTGGTTTAAATATATCTACAACTGTTCATTACATTATTGTCCAAACACTTAGTTTATTACTTCAATTATTCATGTGGTTAGGGCATTTTGGTTATACTATGCTGATTTAGCTGAAAGACAGCCATGAATGAGTAAAGTTAAACACACAATTAGGGGGAGTCTTTTCCTACTTCACCATTCGATTCAAYTCTGTTTTTGGGGCCACGATAAAACACAAAATATTTGCTTGAACTTATTGGCGTGCAAAAAATCCTCATGCATGACTGTGTTTCAGAACCGTCCTATTCGAGACATTTTAAATCAATTCTGAATCTTTGTAAACAAGAATCGTTATTCTTATCTAAATCGATTTTTTTGTCACACACTGAAAAAAAAGATTTTTGGGTGTAGTAACATTATTTAGTCATTTTTTAAAATTTTACAAAAAAAACATCAAAATCTCT